GGTAGACAGTGGTTTGTTGTGGTGCAGGTTGATGTCGCACTTGTTGCACAGGCTGTGGTGTTGGACGTGTCTGTTGGTATACCGGTTGTATTTGCTGCTGTTGTTGGAAACCAACTTGAACCTGTAAAAAAACAATAATTTATGTATAAGTTTGAAAAATTTGAAATATATTAAGTGAAGTGCTCAATGAACTTACAGGTTGACGTTGGTGATTTACACGTTGTCTTGGTGCTTCATCATCATCAACGTAACGATCGTTTTCATAATAATTTTCAGGGTAATAACGTTCAGAGTAACGCAACGTAACGTTTGGTTTTGATTGGTGTTCTTGTAAGTTAATTGGTTTATAAAGATAATCATTGACTATATGGTATTTTGATGATTGCTGGCATATATTTTCATTAGACGGTGGCATGCAGATAAGGTGTATCTGATGGAAGGTGAAACCTTCTGGACAGATCCATGAGTGACGTTGATTATCTTGGCAATAATGGAATACTTCACAATTTAATGATTCATCCGCATAGTAACTATAAATATGTTGTATTCAGCATCTTCGGTTGAATGGTGATATTTGATTATATATAATTACTTACCCTGTAGTTTTGGTATTACAATTGAAACTTGATTTAGCCAATAATGTTGAAAGTCTGTCTGGTTCTTCTTCCTCTTCTTCAGTTTCCTCCTCGCTTGATTGTTTTTTACCAGGTCTTAGAAAATTGGTTTGTTGTTTATTATTTCTGCTTTGATAAACTTGTCGTGGTGCTTCCTCTTGATCTTCTTCAGATTGACTGTAGTCATAAACAGGACGTTGCTGCTGTCTATAGCCTAGATGAGTCTGTGCTTGTGTTTCAAAATCATCTTCTTCTTCATTTGCGTCAATTGAACGTGCTGAAAAGCCTTTGGGTGCTTCAGTAGTTGCAACATCCGCAGCAGCAGCTGCAACCGAACTACATGTCAGATACGTTGCAAAGACTAGGAGTAAGAGACGTAGGCTGTAAAGAAGAAACAAATTATTTATTCTTCGTTTTTAAAAGTTTTTGATGTTGAAGATATTTAGTATCTTAATTAGTGGACTATCCACAACGAGAATAAGATGAGTAACAAAACTAATTTAGAAAAGTTAAATAACCACTACATATCGGACAGTTGTAGTTCTTAAGTTCTTAATCCCATTATAGTCTTTATTGCTATTGTAATTGTGTTTAGTTTTCACTGATTATTTGCTGGTTTAATAAGATTTACTCGTTTTTTTATGAAGAGTTTTCGAACAGTAGTGAATTGCAACCACGAAAATTTTTATTCATTCTTAATTTATTGAATTTTTGGCTGACTATATAGTTGTTTTGAGTATTGCCAAATACCACTCATCAATCGTCTTTTGGAACTATTTCTTATGTTTAATTCATTGTAAATAGTTTTTTGAGATCACGGTACCAAGTATCAAGGATTGAACTTGTACCCTGCCAAATTTGAAGCTCAGAGTCAGTGTTTATCAGCCGTATTTGACTTATTTGTTCGAACTTGGAATTTTATAAAATAGTTATAGAAAAATGATGGATTCTATATATAGCAATAAATTTGCAATCACAATAACAGTATAAATACAATGACAACGAAAAGCATATTCCAATGAAAATTGGTATAATATTTCTTATGTCTACAAATGGGCAAGTCACGGAACTCAACAGAACGATGTTAATGATAGGGTTGCATGGCAGCATAGACAGAGAAGCATGGTATTAAGTGACAAGAGAGAAAGATATATGAACGAAGCACGAACGACACTCTTTGTAAGGATTACAGGGTTGAGACATTTTTAACGGCTATTAGGTAATTATAATCGTTCAAGAAAATCAAAAAAGAAAGAAAATTTATTTTAAGCTTTATAGGCTTAAGATAATGTGACTTTTGACCAGACACTGTAGGCACAAGAGATTTTTGAAGGATTACATCAAACCCCATATGCAGATACTGCAATGAAGAACCTGAATCGTCCTAGGGCATATATCAGAAAATGCGATACACTTACGTACGAACTATAAAAATGATTTGGAAAATAATAATAGGTAAAGAATAAGCAATGTTAAATTTATCCCACATTATTGAGTTCTTGAGGTTAATAGGAATGTATAAGATTTAATAGGATTACTTTATACTAGTATAGAGCACTACAATAGATTTTCTGGTCGTAGTATTTTATATAGGTGTAACATTATGTTTACAGTTGAAAGTTAAATGAAGAAACTATTCTCAAAATGATTGAATTTGTTTCGTCTGTTGGTTTGGGCAATAACTTATAAAGTGATTGATGGATTTTGTCTGCTCTTTATCTTGGCTATATCTGCATAATTTGATTTGTTGGAATATAGTGCAGTTCAAGCATCGGTACACAGGGACAGTGCTGGAGTGAGTATATGGACTGCAGGTTGGCTGAAGTCCTATTTGCTGAAGTTTTCATTTTAGGTTTCTTGAACCAAGGCTATAAGATCCTAGCGAACCTACAATCTTTGTATAAGATCAGAAATCGTTTGTTGTAAATAGTCATTAATGCATGAGATGTTTGTGCCAAAGTGTAGGTCTCATTTATGTGCATTTCAGAGACTTTTGTAGTCATCTCATCTGTTCCTTTGTCTAAGAATCCAGTTAAGAGAGACCTTGTGATGTTCGATGTTTATGACATTTCACAATTCCCAATTTTGCTATTTTGGACTCGATTGCTTTCGTTGCTTGTTGGTTGTCTCTAAAGACAGTGATAGAAGAAGGATGAATTGTATTAATTTGTATGTTAGCCTTGCTGCTTTTTCGATTGTGTAGATCTGAAGGCCTAAAGGACTTTTTGTTTCAGGTAGTTACTTTAAGCTAGTTTATAAAACTCTTGTGCTTTGATAGAGAAAGAAAATTGCCAAAAATGAACACATCATAATCATCTTCTGAAAAATATCATAATATCAAAACAAACGTGATATCATTTTAGTTCATTATAAATGAAAATTTTGAGATTACCCTTTAAGCAAATTCCATTGAGCGATAAAATTAGAGCAAAGACTGTCAGATCGGGTGTGAATCAAAATTTTCCCAATCATCCAAACCTTGTAAATATTCAAATCTATTATAAAAATTCCTTATAAATATTTTCTCTACCGGACTTTATTTTCCATAAAAATAGTTACTAAAATTTAATCGATGAACGTGAGGCGCCAGAAAAAAATCAAATTCGAAAACCAAGTGGCATGCAATGGATTTAATATTCATTCCACGTTTCACTGTTGCAATGTCAAGAAATCAAATTTCAGGAAGATGAACAAAAATTATTAAAAGTACATATTGTCAACTATGTATTATTAGTTGAGTGCTGCTTATAAGAAATAAAAAATATAAAATATTTCAATGGAATTTAAAATTGCATAAAACCAACTTGACAT